CAGGTGAGCCATCATTCATATATGTAAAATTATTAAGAGAAGTAAAGATCTAGCTTCCTTGGAGACTAGGACTTTCCAAACATATGAAATCATTGGGGTGACATCATCGTAATGGCATCACCTAATGATTATATTTTCTTAACTTTTATGTGTAAATGACTATATATAGACATAGAGCTCACCTGATATAATTATGGAATGCAAGTGAATAAACATATACATATTTCACTTGGTGTTTATCAGGTGATTTTCACTATTTTCTGGCCTAATTTTGGGTCAATTTCTCCATTTTACTGTATTGCATTTGAAGAACTCTTGTTTGATGACTTTTTTTTTTTACTTGCACACTTTTGGCTTTGTCAATTCAGGGGGAACGGGTTCCTGTTGTTATTGATGATTGGATTCCCTGTGAGTCACCTGGTAAACCTGCATTTGCCACCAGCAGGAAGAAAAATGAATTGTGGGTCTCTATCTTGGAAAAAGCTTATGCTAAGCTTCATGGTTCGTATGAGGCATTGGAAGGTGGACTTGTCCAAGATGCTCTTGTTGATGTTACTGGGGGCGCGGGTGAGGAAATTGATATGAGAAGTACTGAAGCACAGATCGATCTTGCTAGTGGAAGGTTATGGTCTCAAGTGTTACGGTTCAATCAAGAAGGTTTTCTACTTGGTGCTGGTAGTCCTTCCGGTTCAGATGTGCATATTTCTTCGAGTGGTATTGTTCAAGGCCATGCCTACTCAGTATTGCAGGTATATCAAATACTACCTCCATCTCGTGTATTCGTCTAGTTTGAATTTTTTGAGTCAAATTCGACAAACTATGGGCATCAATTAAATAAAAATAGTAAAGTATTTTTGTATAAAATCATTCCATTAGATTTATCTTGTATAGAACTTTTAAAATTTTAATTTATTGTATTAAATGCAATATAATATTTGTGAAGTAAATTGGCTCTCTTAACTGTGTGTGCTTCTTGCAATTGTGTAGTAGGAGTTGTTCAATGCAACTTTCGGCGCTCATCATGTGTCTTCTGGAAACAGCCGCTCTATGTTTTAAACATAGTGGTCAGACTGCGTACATCCGACCCCCCCATCTCGCAATGGGCGGAGCCGTTGAGGCATTGGGGTAATGTTGTTGTTGTTGTGTATTAAATGCAATGCAATTTAAGAATAATTGATGATTAAAGTTCGTCCAGTTTGACGCATAAAAGTCAAACTAGACGAATACACTAGGAAGGATGAGTATAATTTTTAGGTAACACATATCTACATACATATGTTGTTATTCGTATGCATGAAGATATAATAACTTCCTTTGTCCCAAAATTAACTTCACCCTTTACTTTTCCGTTCCTCTCAAGATAATCTTTACACTTCTTTCATTTCCTTTTAAGGAAATGAATATGCAAATTCCAACCACACTTTACTTTTAAAACACTTTACTTAAACTCTATGAAGGCAAAGAGTGAATTTAATTATGGGACAGAGTAAATATATTACTAGAACTTTTTATTTTTGGTATCAAAGGAAGAATTAGTTGTGCATTTTTTATTCATTGTCTTGGCATGTGTCTTTTAAGGTACGAGAAGTAGATGGTTATAAACTTGTTCAGATCAGAAACCCATGGGCAAATGAGGTTGAGTGGAATGGTCCTTGGTCTGATTCATCGCCTGAATGGACAGACAGGATGAAACACAAGCTCAAACATGTCCCCCAGGTAGCTGATTCTATTTGTTGTATTTAATATTTATATTAAGTACTTGGGTCGTAGTGTGCTATCTATATTTTACGAACAAAAATAACTTTGTTTTGTATGCAAGGATTACAAGTCTTTTCGTTGATTAATGTTGAACACAGGCAAAAGATGGCATATTCTGGATGTCTTGGCAAGGTTTTCAAATACACTTCAGGTCTATTTATGTTTGTCGTGTGTATCCACCGGATATGCGTTATTCTGTTCATGGACAGTGGCGAGGTTGTAGTGCTGGTGGCTGCCAGGATTATGATACATGGCATCAGAACCCACAGTTTTGTCTGAAAGCCAGAGAGCCCGATGCTTCTTTCCCCATTCAATCATTCATGTTTTCATTACCTTAACTCAGGTACGGTTTAACTTCTAACTTCTGTTTATTAGATATAGAGAACTAAGTATGTGCGTTGTAATGTTCTTGGCCTCCCCCCACCAACAACACTACCCACACTTTAAGCAATATGCAATGGGCTGGCTACATTACAAAATCTACTATGCTTATTATGCCCCAATGCTCGGGACTCCTTAGATGTTCAGTTCAAGTCATCTTCAGTCTACTCTGACTCCTTGGAGGGTAAGTCAATACTATTGGTTAATTTATCTCCAAGGATTTTCACTTCATATTATGACAGATAGGAGCAACATTTCTCTTAGTTCTCCTCCTTCTAGTTCTAGCTATCGGTGCAATTCATTATTGGGCCTCAAATAATTTCTATCTGACAAGGGTTTAGATGCTAGTTGTTTGTTTTCTAGCGTTTCTTGTGGCTTTGGCGGCCTTTCTTGTTGGATGGTTTCAAGGTAATATCACTTTCTTATATATCACTCGTGATGATATGATTCACAGATCACCATAGGACTCCTCGGATAATGACCAATATCAATTTGCATGCTTCATAATGCTTGATTGGATTTTTGGTTTGTTCCAGACAAGGCTTTTGTTGGTGCATCCGTTGGTTACTTCCCATTTCTTTTCCTACTAGCTGGAAGGGCATTGTCTGTAAGTTGATCATTCTTGAAATAATAATTTAGGGCTGAGAATGGCTTGTTATGTTGGCCCTCTCCCACAGTGAGATGTTCTTCCTATTTCTACTTGACATGTTGTCTTGCTTTAATAACTCAGTAATTATTGTCTTCTCTAGGTGCTCCTTTCACCTTCGATAGTAGTCTATTCCCCAAGGGTGTTACCTGTGTATGTGTACGATGCACATGCAGATTGTGGGAAAAACGTCAGGTTTTGTTGAGCTCTTCTCTGTATGCTGAAGTGTTGGAGTTCTCTCATTTTTTAATGAATTTTTATCATGTTATCCAAAAAATTCATGTTCTTATCATCATTTTTCCTTGGAATATATAAGTACTTGACAAATTGTTTTACTTTCTATCCTCTGTGGTGCATTTCTTTTGCTTTATGGCGTTGCATTAGCTATTGAAGGATGGCGTGTAGTTGCAAGTTTGAAAATCTATCCCCCTTTCGCTGGAGCTGCTGTTTCAGCAGATACCCTTGTCGTAGCTTTTGGATTCGCTGTCTCTCGCCCTTGTTTGACTCTCGAGGTATTTCCAATCATGGTATTTGCTTTATTAGCAATTTGTCTTGATGTCTTGATCATAATATACTATTGTGTCAGTAGGTTCAGTCTTAGGTATGGACTTAAAAAGCCGGTCCGGTCCAGTCTGGTGCCAAGGTTTTCAGTACGGTCATGTCTGGTCTTGCACCAATGCACACCCCTAAATAATATTGTGTCAGATTTTTAAATAGGGATATCTTTTAAATTTACTGCCTGTTCCTAACCTAAAACCATGTTTCATATTCAGACCAGAAACGCTTTATCTGGAACTTACTCTGCTCCACAGAGGTCTGCCAGCTCAGCTGCTCTTTTGGTTGGGGATCCTGCTGTAATTCGAGATAAAGGAGGGAATTTTGTACTTCCTAGGGCTGATGTCATGAAATTAAGAGATCGTTTGAGAAATGAAGAATTAGCTGCTGGATCTCTTATGTCTAGGTTGAGAAACAACACCCTGCGGCACGAAGCTATAACTGATATAGGTCACAAAAGAGAAATGTGTGCTCATGCCAGAATACTAGCTCTGGAAGAAGCAATTGACACTGAATGGGTTTACATGTGGGATAAGTTTGGTGGTTATTTACTTCTTTTACTTGGTTTGACGTCTAAAGCTGAACGTGTACAGGTATAAATGCTTAAACATTCTATCACACAGCACATGAAGTCTTTTTCATGCTAACCTCCTTCTTTTACCGGATGAGGTTCGCTTAAGACTTTTCCTCGACAGCATAGGATTGCCTGATCTCAGTGCTAACTGCTAAGGATATCAAAAAGTGGCTACCAGAGGAACATAGGCGATTTGAACTTATACAAGAGAGGTATATAGGAACATCTCAAGCTATTAATGTTGCTTCTTTACCCTTCTCGGTCTCATAGTGAAATAAGTTGTTAAGTTTGTAAATCTATGTGTAGTTATATAATGGAGAAAGAGATGGAAGAAGAAATATTGATGCAGAGACGCGAAGAGGAAGGAAGGGGGGTAAAGAGAGGAGGAGAGCTCTTCTGGAGAAAGAAGAACACAAATGGAAAGAGATAGAAGCTTCTCTTATGTCATCTATTCCCAATGCTGCCAACAGAGAAGCAGAAGCAGTAGCAGCTGCTGTTCGTGCAGTTGGAGGTGATTCCGGTTTTGATGATTCTTTTGCTCGTGAGAGAGTTTCAAGCATTGCACGCCGCATACGTGCAGGCCAGTTATCTCAGCGAGCACTCCAGGTTATCTTTTTTTCAATAGTTCTAGTTTATGGGGGTCTTTAATTTGAATATGTACTCTCTGTATTACCTTCTCCTATCAGTACTCTTTCATTGTAAGTTCATCATGTTGACATGTCAAATAGAGAAGCCAGTGAACCAAGTAGTTGACAATTAGTTGATAAGTGGACATATCAATTACGGAGTACTCCATATCGTATTCTTGTATTTCAAAAATTCAAATATCCACGTATTGTGTCCCATAATAGTAGTCTAGTTTTGGGTAACCATACTTGAGTGTAGTTATTTTAAATTCAATTTATGTAAATATTGGTTTAAATTAAACAATAAAACAAGATGTGAATTGACCATGTTATTGTAACAAATGATTAATGAAAATAGGTAGGGAATAGGGAAAGAAGATATGGTTTGGTCTTGTGAAGAGTGAACATACAATTCTTATGAGATGGAGGGAGTATTAAATAAATCCAAGCCTCATACACCCAATGCATATATCTAAAATCAACACAAAATAGATCAGTAGATAACAAACCATGCATCTATTTTTCTGAAATGAAACAATAAGTGTAATAATCGTGTTTAATTACTAAGAACAGTAACATGATACAAATGAAATGGCAGTAGCGACTATTGAGTAGCAGAGAAATATAAAATAGGCAGGAGAAGAAAACTAAAATAATATATTAGCATTAAAACTAGCAACTGGCAGCGGGCAAAATATTAAATATGCAATGTTAAAGAAAACTGAAAGAAAAGGCAGCTGGTAGTAAAAGAAGGCAAAGGAAACACGGTTGGCGGAAAAATGCCAAACATGCGGCAGAAACTATCAAAACTTGAATATGCATTAGCAACTTGAAAAAATATTAAATATGCAGTAGAATAGGAAAAGGAAAGAAGTAAAACAGAATTAAAAAAAGGAAAGAAAGAAAATATACTTCTAAACATTTGTAGTGGTGTATGGCCGTAGTTGTGGCGATGTCTCACAATGGTGGTTATGTCTGGCAGCTGTGGAGGGTCAACAACGGCAAAACTAGGCTTTGCTATGCTCCGTCGCTCTGTCTCTCTTTATGCACTTTAGTTTCTCTTCTTTCTATGCGTCTTTGTTAAAAACTTTATGGTTAATGTGTTGGGTTGGCACAAGGGACACTGGTTTTGCATTTTGGTTGTTTCTAATCAATAAACGTCTCCATGTATGACACTAACGATCGTTACCAAATATCAAAATATGTCAGTCTCATGGCCCTGTTCTGCCCTTAGTGCATATTAATTTGACGATGTGATAACAATGGTAATACCCCCTCTGTCCCAAAAAACATTAACTGATTTAACATTCATGGTGTTTAAGAAAAATGTTGAAAGGTAAATGGTATATGGTTGGAATTTTTTTAGATCATGGAGAAATTCAAGAGCCACATGTTCGTTACATGTTCCAGTCCCATATTTATGAAGCCACATCTTTAGTTCTTGGCATGCTCTCTTCTGCATATTGATTTGATATGTTAAATTTATCTTCTTATTTTCATTTTTGTTGCAGACTAGACTTAGTGGCGCTGTATTTATTCTTGATGATGAGCCTACTACCAGCGGCAGACATTGTGGACCCGTGGATCTCAGTGTTTGTTGTGGTAATAGAGTTAGCGTTTCTATTGCTGTCATGGTGCAGCTGGACTCGGGACCAGTTTGTCTCTTGGGTTCTGAATTGCAGAAGAAGATATGCTGGGAGTTTCTTGTTGCTGGGTCTGAGCAAGGCATTGAAGCTGGACAAGTTGGACTTAGATTAATTACCAAGGGCGATAGACAAACTACAGTCTCAAAGGAGTGGAGTGTAGGTGCGAGCAACATTGCTGATGGAAGGTGTGTTTTCTTTTACTTGTAGGGTTGCTTCTTGAACGCCATGTCAGTACTTATAGCTTGCTGCTGGTAACACCAAATCTCTCAAGTTTTTTATGAATATATCGGTGTGTTGGATTACCGCTGTGGTTCATTGCTCCTGTACTCTTATCTTGGCTAGAAGTTGAATTCTTATTTTCCTGATCCGAAGATAAATTACTTTGCAGGTGGCATATAGTTACATTGACTGTAGATGCTGATTTAGGTGAAGTATCTTGCTATCTAGATGGTAATTTTGATGGCTATCAGACAGGGCTACCACTGCATACTGGTAGTTGCGTATGGGGAGCAAGGAACAGAGGTCTGGGTGGGTATACGACCACCTATTGATCTTGACGCATTTGGGAGGTCGGATAGTGAAGCAGCTGATTCTAAGATGCAGATAATGGATGTATTCCTTTGGGGAAGGTGCTTAACTGAAGATGAGATTGCCACTCTTCCTGGTGCAATTGTTACTGCAGAGTATAATATGATCAATCTGTTAGATGATAATTTTCAATGGACAGATTCTCCAACTAGGGTCAGTGTTCTTTCTCCGAAAATTGTATATTGAGTATAGTGCAATTTCTTCCACATGCCCATTTTTCAATTTTTGCAAATAAAACGCCTACATTCATTTCTGTTTGTCATTGATCTATTTGGATATCTTATGTTCTCTCATTTAGGTTGATGACTGGGAGAGCGACCTGCAGATGTTGACCTTTATGACAGAGATGATGTGGATTGGGACGGACAGTATTCAAGTGGGAGGAGAAGGAGATCTGAATGGGATGGTGTTGTTGTATTGGATGTTGATTCATTTACGAGAAGGTTGAGGAAACCATCATTGGATACCCAGGAAGAAATGAATCAATGCATGCGCTCAGTCTTCTCTCTCTCGGTCTTCTATGTCAAGCTTCCTTAAAATGTATAAGACCTATATATACATATATATAAATATATATATATATATATACACATATATATATATATATAGACAAACACACAAACACACACACACACACACACACACACATATATATATACATGTAGGTATGTATGTCGCCTAGTCGTCGCCTGGGCGTGCGCCTAGTCGCCCAGGCGATATGAAGGTGCATTGGCGCCTCGCCTCGCCTTGCCGCCTTACAAACTATGGCGCTCAGTTGAAATGGCTGTGAAGGAGGCTCTATTGGCAAGGGGAGAATCCCAATTCACAGATCAAGAATTCCCCCCTGGTGACCGCTCATTATTTGTTGATCCAGATAACCCTCCTTCAAAACTGCAGGTGAGTTGCACTGGCAACAGTTTGGAATGGATTTTTTGGGCATGATTCCATTTTCTGGAGCATGGCATATCCGTACAAACCTACTATGGCAGAACTCACAATAAATTTTGTTTGAAGGTTGTTGCTGCATGGATGAGGCCCATTGAAATAGTTGAAGAGAATCAGCTTGTTTCTGGTCCGTGCCTGTTTTCTGGAGCCGCAAATTCTTCAGATGTTTGCAAGGTTTTGCCAACAAAACAAACTAATTGTGCTGTGTTGCTATATAAAACTTGTGATCTTATCTATTTCCGAAGTCTTTCTTTGGACTTTCCCCTACAATTTCCTTTCCATGGAGACAAATCACTTGTGTGTTTGTGTGTGTATATTACCATATTAATGTTGCCACTAAAACATTTCAGGGACGACTGGGTGATTGTTGGTTTCTGAGTGCAGTTGCTGTTTTAACTGAGGTTTCACGAATATTGGAAGTTATAATTACACCTGAATACAATGAGGAAGGAATATACACAGTTCGTTTCTGTATTCAGGTGAGCCATCTTTCATACATGTAAAATTAGTAAGAGAAGTAAAGATCTAGCTTCCTTGGAGACTAGGACTTTCCAAACATATGAAATCATTGGGGTGACATAATTGTAATGGCATCACCTAATGATTATATTTTCTTAACTTTTATGTGTAAATGACTATATATAGACATAGAGCTCACCTGATATAATTATGGAATGCAAGTGAATAAACATATACATATTTCACTTGGTGTTTCTCAGGTGATTTTCACTATTTTATGGCCTAATTTTGGGTCAATTTCTCCATTTTACTGTATGGCATTTGAAGAACTCTTGTTTGATGACTTTTTTTTTACTTGCACACTTTTGGCTTTGTCAATTCAGGGGGAATGGGTTCCTGTTGTTATTGATGATTGTATTCCCTGTGAGTCACCTGGTAAACCTGCATTTGCCACCAGCAGGAAGAAAAATGAATTGTGGGTCTCTATCTTGGAAAAAGCTTATGCTAAGCTTCATGGTTCGTATGAGGCATTGGAAGGTGGACTTGTCCAAGATGCTCTTGTTGATGTTACTGGGGGCGCGGGTGAGGAAATTGATATGAGAAGTACTGAAGCACAGATCGTTCTTGCTAGTGGAAGGTTATGGTCTCAAGTGTTACGGTTCAATCAAGAAGGTTTTCTACTTGGTGCTGGTAGTCCTTCCGGTTCAGATGTGCATATTTCTTCGAGTGGTATTGTTCAAGGCCATGCCTACTCAGTATTGCAGGTATATCAAATACTACCTCCATCTCGTGTATTCGTCTAGTTTGACTTTTTTGAGTCAAATTTGACAAACTATGGGCATCAATTAAATAAAACCAGTAATGTATTTTTGTATAAAATCATTCCATTAGATTTATCTTGTATAGAACTTTTAAAATTTTAATTTATTGTATTAAATGCAATACACTATTTGTGAAGTAAATTGGCTCTCTAAACTGTGTGTGCTTCTTGCAATTGTGTAGTAGGAGTTGTTCAATGCAACTTTCGACGCTCATCATGGGTCTTCTGAAACAGCCGCTCTATGTTTTAAACATAGTGGTCAGACTGCGTACATCCGACCCCCCCATCTCGCAATGGGCGGAGCCGTTGAGGCATTGGGGTAATGTTGTTGTTGTGTATTAAATGCAATGCAATTTAAGAATAATTGATGATTAAAGTTCGTCCAGTTTGACTCATAAAAGTCAAACTAGACGAATACACTAGGAAGGATGAGTATAATTTTTAGGTAACACATACCTACATACATTTGTTGTTATTCGTATGCATGAAGATATAATAACTTCCTTTGTCCCAAAATTAACTTCACCCTTTACTTTTCCGTTCCTCCCAAGATAATCTTTACACTTCTTTCATTTCCTTTTAAGGAAATGAATATGCTGCTCACAATGGTTTTCTCTCTTCTAAACAAATTCCAACCACACTTTACTTTTAAAACACTTTTCTTAAACTCTATGAAGGCAAAGAGTGAATTTAATTATGGGACAGAGTAAATATATTACTAGAACTTTTTATTTTTGGCATCAAAGGAAGAATTAGTTGTGCATTTTTTATTCATTGTCTTGGGATGTGTCTTTTAAGGTACAAGAAGTAGATGGTTATAAACTTGTTCAGATCAGAAACCCATGGGCAAATGAGGTTGAGTGGAATGGTCCTTGGTCTGATTCATCGCCTGAATGGACAGACACAGACAGGATGAAACACAAGCTCAAACATGTCTCCCAGGTAGCTGATTCTATTTGTTGTATTTAATATTTATATTAAGTACTTGGGTCGTAGTGTGCTATCTCTATTTTATGAATAAAAATAACTTTGTTTTGTATGCAAGGATTACAAGTCTTTTCGTTGATTAATGTTGAACACAGGCAAAAGATGGCATATTCTAGATGTCTTGGCAAGGTTTTTGTTGGAAACAATCTCTTTATTAAAACTGGAAAATAACTCAAAACCAATTACAATAAACTCTCATATGTTTCTCATATGGCTCTCATATCAAAACCCAAGGCTTGGCTATGATATATATGGTGTTAACCCAACTTGGCCAACAAGTAATCTAGGATCCATAATTCTATTCCTACTTGAACTAGAATATCTCGGGTAATCCTAATCCTACTCGATAATTAGTCAACAATCACCCCCCTAATTTTCGAGTTGGATTGCGGGTGATCTTCAACTCCAAGCATGTCTTCTTTATCTTGATTCTCCCGAGGCTCTTCATGATCCCTTGCAGTGTTCTTCGGGCTCCACTTAGCTTGAACAAACACTTGCTCCTTGCGATCATTACACGTCCTTCCTTGGGTTAGAATCCTTTTCTTGACATCTCCTTTAAACTTTTGAACATTCTTCTTTGGACTTTGAATTTTGGGTGTCTTCATTAAACTTGGATCTCCGAGAAGATTCTGACTCGTACTTCGTGTACCTTCTTTCAGTTAATCAACTCTTTGTAGATCCCTACCCGCAAAATTCTTCATTCCAATCATGCTAACTTGTATACTGGGACTTGCTATCTTGAGATTGAAGCAAATTTGATTAAACCTTACTTGTTTAATCCAATCCTTTTTTCATGAACTCAGGCCCACTACACTAATTTCAATCTTGGCCCAGACCACCAAATTGAGCCCAATCTCCAATCCAAGCAAAGAAAAAAAAAGGCTGACCACTGCTTTGTCTGCACGTTCTCCTTCCCCTTTTATTTTCTCAGCACTGAGATCTTGAAACTGGACGGCGGCAACACGCACTGTGCGCGACTATGCGAAGGTGGCTGCTCCTTACTGTGCGGCGGCCTTTACCTGGACGACGGCGACTCGCGATCTGCGTGGCGGTTCTCCTTCTCAAACCAGCGGCGTCAATCTGAGGACGACGGCGACTCCTCAACGCGGCGCGGCTCCTCAACTCAGCGGCGGCGGCGGCAGGTGTCTCAGAGCGACTCTCCCTCAGCGGCTCAGACCTGCGCGCGGCTATCAGCGGCGGCGAGTTCAATCTCGGATCCGGACGGCTGCCAAGGCGGCTCCAATGCTCGGATCGGCACGGCTGCGACGGTGGTGACAAGTTTTTTTTTCAATTTGTGCTTGTGTTGAAAGATCTAGCTCTGATACCAATTGTTGGAAACAATCTCTTTATTATAACTGGAAAATAACTCAAAACCAATTACAATAAACTTTCATATGTTTCTCTTATGGCTCTCATATCAAAACCCAAGGCTTGGCTATGATATATATAGTGTTAACCCAACTTGGCCAACAAGTAATCTAGGATCCATAATTCTATTCCTACTTGAACTAGAATATCTCGAGTAATCCTAATCCTACTCGATAATTAGTCAACAGTTTTCAAATACACTTCAGGTCTATTTATGTTTGTCGTGTGTATCCACCGGATATGCGTTATTCTGTTCATGGACAGTGGCGAGGTTGTAGTGCTGGTGGCTGCTAGGATTATGATACATGGCACCGGAACCTACAGTTTTGTCTGAAAGCCAGAGGGCCCGATGCTTCTTTCCCCATTCAATCATTCATGTTTTCATTACCTTAACTCAGGTACTCAATCATTCAATGCTCGGGACTCCTTAGATGTTCAGGTTCAGTTCAAGTCATCTTCAGTCTACTCTGACTCCTTGGAGGGTAAGTCAATACTATTGGTTAATTTATCTCTTATTATTGTTTATCTTTAAGGAGTTTCACTTCATATTATGACAGATAGGAGCAACATTTCTCTTAGTTCTCCTCCTTCTAGTTCTAGCTATCGGTGCAATTCATTATTGGGCCTCACATAATTTCTATCTGACAAGGGTTCAGATGCTAGTTGTTTGTTTTCTAGCATTTCTTGTGGCTTTGGTGGCCTTTCTTGTTGGATGGTTTCAAGGTAATATCACTTTCTTATATATCACTCGTGATGATATGATTCACAGATCACCATAGGACTCCTCGGATAATGACCAATATCAATTTGCATGCTTCATAATGCTTGATTGGATTTTTGGTTTGTTCCAGACAAGGCTTTTGTTGGTGCATCCGTTGGTTACTTCTCATTTCTTTTCCTACTAGCTGGAAGGGCATTGTCTGTAAGTTGATCATTCTTGAAATAATAATTTAGGGCTGAGAATGGCTTGTTATGTTGGCCCTCTCCCACAGTGAGATGTTCTTCCTATTTCTACTTGACATGTTTTCTTGCTTTAATAACTCAGTAATTATTGTCTTCTCTAGGTGCTCCTTTCACCTTCGATAGTAGTCTATTCCCCAAGGGTGTTACCTGTGTATGTGTACGATGCACATGCAGATTGTGGGAAAAACGTTAGGTTTTGTTGAACTCTTCTCTGTATGCTGAAGTGTTGGAGTTCTCTCATTTTTTAATGAATTTTTATCATGTTATCCAAAAAATTCATGTTCTTATCATCTTTTTTCCTTGGAATATATAAGTACTTGACAAATTGTTTTACTTTCTATCCTCAGTGGTGCATTTCTTTTGCTTTATGGCGTTGCATTAGCTATTGAAGGATGGGGTGTAGTTGCAAGTTTGAAAATCTATCCCCCTTTCGCTTGAGCTGCTGTTTCAGCAATTACCTTGTCGTAGCTTTTGGATTCGCTGTCTCTCGCCCTTGTTTGACTCTCGAGGTATTTCCAATCATGGTATTTGCTTTATCAGCAATTTCTCTTGATGTCTTGATCATAATATTCTATTGTGTCAGTAGGTTCAGTCTTAGGTATGGACTTAAAAAGCCGGTCCGGTCCAGTCTGGTGCCAAGGTTTTCAGTACGGTCATGTCTGGTCAAGGTTTTCAGTCCGGTCGTCGGTCTATGGGAGTTTCGGTCTGGTCCCGGTCTGGTCTTGCACCAATGCACACCCCTAAATAAAATTGTGTCAGATTTTTAAATAGGGATATCTTTTAAAGTTACTGCATGTTCCTAACCTAAAACCATGTTTCATATTCAGACCAGAAACGCTTTATCTGGAACTTACTCTGCTCCCCAGAGGTCTGCCAGCTCAGCTGCTCTTTTGGTTGGCGATCCTGCTGTAATTCGAGATAAAGGAGGGAATTTTGTACTTCCTAGGGCTGATGTCATGAAATTAAGAGATCGTTTGAGAAATGAAGAATTAGCTGCTGGATCTCTTATGTCTAGGTTGAGAAATAAGACCCTGCGGCACGAAGCTATAACTGATATAGGTCACAAAAGAGAAATGTGTGCTCATGCCAGAATACTAGCTCTGGAAGAAGCAATTGACACTGAATGGGTTTACATGTGGGATAAGTTTGGTGGTTCTTTACTTCTTTTACTTGGTTTGACGTCTAAAGCTGAACGTGTACAGGTATAAATGCTTAAACATTCTATCACACAGCACATGAAGTCTTTTTCATGCTAACCTCCTTTTACCGGATGAGGTTCGTTTAAGACTTTTCCTCGACAGCATAGGATTGCCTGATCTCAGTGCTAAGGATATCAAAAAGTGGCTACCAGAGGAACATAGGCGATTTGAACTTATACAAGAGAGGTATATAGGAACATCTCAAGCTATTAATGTTGCTTCTGTTACCCTTCTCGGTCTCATAGTGAAATAAGTTGTTAAGTTTGTAAATCTATGTGTAGTTATATAATGGAGAAAGAGATGGAAGAAGAAATATTGATGCAGAGACGCGAAGAGGAAGGAAGGGGTAAAGAGAGGAGGAGAGCTCTTCTGGAGAAAGAAGAACGCAAATGGGAAGAGATAGAAGCTTCTCTTATGTCATCTATTCCCAATGCTGGCAACAGAGAAGCAGCAGCAGTAGCAGTTGCTGTTCGTGCAGTTGGAGGTGATTCCGTTTTTGATGATTCTTTTGCTCGTGAGAGAGTTTCAAGCATTGCACGCCGCATACGTGCAGGCCAGTTATCTCAGCGAGCACTCCAGGTTATCATTTTTTCAATAGTTCTAGTTTATGGGGGTCTTTAATATGAATATGTACTCTCTGTATTACCTTCTCCTATCAGTACTCTTTCATTGTAAGTTCATCATGTTGACATGTCAAATAGAGAAGCCAGTGAACCAAGTAGTTGACAATTAGTTGATAAGTGGACATATCAATTACGGAGTACTCCATATCGTATTCTTGTATTTCAAAAATTCAAATATCCACGTATTGTGTCCCATAATAGTAGTCTAGTGTTGGGTAACCATACTTGAGTGTAGTTATTTTAAATTCAATTTATGTAAATATTGGTTTAAATTAAACAATAAAACAAGATGTGAATTGACCATGTTATTGTAACAAATGATTAATGAAAATAGGTAGGGAATAGGGAAAGAAGATATGGTTTGGTCTTGTGAAGAGTGAACATACAATTCTTATGTGATGGAGGGAGTATTAAATAAAATCAAGCCTCATACACCCAATGCATATATCTAAAATCAACACAAAATAGATCAGTAGATAACAAACCATGCATCTATTTTTCTGAAATGAAACAATAAGTGTAATAATCGTGTTTAATTACTAAGAACAGTAACATGATACAAATGAAATGGCAGTAGCGACTATTGAGTAGCAGAGAAATATAAAATAGGCAGGAGAAGAAAACTAAAATAATATATTAGCATTAAAACTAGCAACTGGCAGCAGGCAAAATATTAAATATGCAATGTTAAAGAAAACTGAAAGAAAAGGAAGCTGGTAGTAAAAGAAGGCAAAGGAAACACAGTTGGCGGAAAAATGCCAAACATGCGGCAGCAACTATCAAAACTTGAATATGCATTAGCAACTTGAAAAAATATTAAATATGCAGTAGAATAGGAAAAGGAAAGAAGTAAAACAGAATTAAAAAAAGGAAAGAAAGAAAATATACTTCTAAACATTTGTAGTGGTGTATGGCCGTAGTTGTGGCGATGTCTCACAATGGTGGTTATGTCTGGCAACTGTGGAGGGTCAACAACGGAAAAACTAGGCTTTGCTATGCTCCGACGCTCTGTCTCTCTTTATGCACTTTAGTTTCTCTTCTTTCTATGCGTCTTTGTTAAAAACTTTATGGTTAATGTGTTGGGTTGGCACAAGGGACACTGTTTTTTGCATTTTGGTTGTTTCTAATCAATAAACGTCTCCATGTATGACACTAACGATCGTTACCAAATATCAAAATATGTCAGTCTCATGGCCCTGTTCTGCCCTTAGTGCATATTAATTTGACGATGTGATAACAATGGTAATACCCCCTCTGTCCCAAAAAACATTAACTGATTTAACATTCATGGTGTTTAAGAAAAATGTTGAAAGGTAAATGGTATATGGTTGGAATTTTTTTAGATCATGGAGAAATTTCGTGAGCCACATGTTCGTTACATGTTCCAGTCCCATATTTATGAAGCCACATCTTTAGTTCTTGGCATGCTCTCTTCTGCATATTGATTTGATATGTTAAATTTATCTTCTTATTTTCATTTTTGTTGCAGACTGGACTTAGTGGCGCTGTATTTATTCTTGATGATGAGCCTACTACCAGCGGCAGACATTGTGGACCCGTGGATCTCAGTGTTTTTTGTAGTAATAGAGTTAGCGTTTCTATTGCTGTCATGGTGCAGCTGGACTCGGGACCAGTTTGTCTCTTGGGTTCTGAATTGCAGAAGAAGATATGCTGGGAGTTTCTTGTTGCTGGGTCTGAGCAAGGCATTGAAGCTGGACAAATTGGACTTAGATTAATTACCAAGGGCGATAGACAAACTACAGTCTCAAAGGAGTGGAGTGTAGGTGCGAGCAACATTGCTGATGGAAGGTGTGTTTTCTTTTACTTGTAGGGTTGCTTCTTGAACGCCATGTCAGTACTTATAGCTTGCTGCTGGTAACACCAAATCTCTCAAGTTTTTTATGAATATATCGGTGTGTTGGATTACCGCTGTGGTTCATTGCTCCTGTACTCTTATCTTGGCTAGAAGTTGAATTCTTATTTTCCTGATCCGAAGATAAATTACTTTGCAGGTGGCATATAG